CGGCGTCATGTCTGCTACTCGGCTTCCACGCTGATCCGACCCACATCTGTACCGTATTATCGTTCGTTTCGTTGAATCCTCCCATCAGTGAAGCGAGCAACGAGCATTCTCAAAATACTTGCTGGCTCTCAGGTCAGCAAGTATTTTGAGAATGCATGCTCGTTTCACTGATGGAACTCGACGAAGACGAACGAACGGTAATACGGTACAGATGGTCAGTGGTTTATCAGCGCTGCCTTACAAAGGAACCCATTCAAGGGGAAAAAATTGACCATACTTCGTCATCTAGCGACGTCTGACTACAATCTATTGTTACGGCTGAAAACAAAATTTGTATTCTCCTTAAGTTCAGAATTCATTCTATATGAGCACTTCTTATTTACTTTGCCTCAAAAGGATCTCTTGCAAGCATATCACAACGACCAGAGCTTTGTTACCCAGTTCATTGCTGGAATCTCACCGGAGGATTATTCGAATAGTTTCTGTGCTTCCATGCTTTGCGCGCTGCCACTTGGATGATGTCCAAAAACATTCTGCTGACATTCAATTCATTTAATGAAACATTCTGTTTCATTAAGCTTGTCTTGTCGAAAGCTTGTCTAGAACAAACGAAAGGGACAATGTAGCAAAGCGCGGGGTGAGAAGGACTTCCTGGAAAACCATGGCGGTAATGGTGGAAGACTATAGCAAAGGGGCCCTAAAGTTGTCTGCCGGGCATCATGCAGAAGCTGGAGCCATCCGATACCGCATTCGGCCGGTAAGTACGAAGTGCAAATACACGTCCCGCCTGAAGTTGAGGCTTTTGCCCTCAAGTCAGCATTCTTTTGATGGCGAAACTAGAGTTAGATCTATCACAGTACAGCGTACTCCAGTCAGGGTGACACTCGAACGTCTGAAGCACTCTCTCGGCAAGCGTTATCCTCCTCCGCCTCTCTTCATACCGACAAATAAATAAAATTTTTGTAACTGCTAATGGGTTACAATCAATGATACCAGTCAAAAGAGCACTTTACGCCAGGTAGTAAGGTGAAGTTACCATTGCTCTCTCTCTCTCTCTCGTTGTCAGTGGCGTGTCCCTCACCTTTAGCGTTTCCACTTTACCCAGGAACAGTGTCTCTAACCGAATGACAGCTATCTAGCCCATGAAGACGCGTGAATTTACCAATTACAGCGGTCACATGTACCTTTCTGGTCGTATTGAGCGGCTTTTCCAGTAAATCTGACTACCTTTCGCTCAATTAATCTTTTTTCGGTTTGGTATTTCTGAGGTGGCATACTCTTCAATTTTCGTGTAATTTCAGGAGGCTACTGGGCTCTGTGGTGTTCATACATCGTCAAGGAGCTCATCACCACCCTGTATATTGGATTTCTTGGTCTCATTTTCTCGTCGTATTTTGTATATTTGGCAGAGAAAGACCACGTAGCTCCCGATGGACGGCAAGCGTTCACCAGCTACGCTGACGCCTTATGGTGGGGAGTGGTGAGTTAGTGTGTTTTTCTTCGAATGACAATGAGAAACTCTGACGCAATGGTGGGATTCCCCCAACGATTCTGTACCCTTAATCCTGACTCTGCCACGAAAAAAATCCTTAAGCAGCTGGACGCCTAAAGTAACGCCGCATGGGCCCGGCCTCAAGAAGAACCCCAGTCCAGCTAGTTGTATATGACAAGGTCCCCATCTTGAAGGCATAGCTTTCAAGGTGGCTAGGGGTGGGGAGACGTCGCTGGCGTGACTGATGGCTTAACATCCGCCTACCGACGATTAAGCTGACTACGTCAGCTTCTATATCTAACTCGTGCTGCGCCTTCAAATAGAGCTCACAGAAGTCAAACAGGTCTCATCGGTCAGCAGAGCAGAGATTTGAAGGCACTTCCCCCCTGTCGGGCAGTATGAGCCTGGACTTGGACCTGTAAATGGTCAGAAGCGGACTTGCCATTATGATTCTTTCATTGGTGTGTTCCTCCTCTTTAAAGTATCCTCTTCTAAGATCAGATAAGGAGAAGGATAAAGTCTTCGCCGTTGATCAATCCCTTTGTGGGATGCGGCACGCATTCTACTTCCATTCAGAATCGTAGTGGCTTACTGAATGCGATGTGGCCTATACAATGACTTGCGGGGGCCAGCCGATGTACAAGTCAGTGTTTTAACCTCTCCAGACGAATCTGGTACCAATTTACCGTCCCCGGAGAGCAGAAGGCTTGGTGGCGTGAGCGGGTGCCGATCCGTGATTTGAACCCCGGACCGCGAGAGTGCTGAGCGTGCACAAGTGCCTCCTTATGTTCTGAAAATTAATCTGAAGAAATCCTTCTGAAGATCATTCTTACAGATCACAATGACCACCATAGGCTATGGTGATGTGGTCCCGCAGACGTGGCTTGGCCGAATTGTCGCTTCGTGCTTCTCAATCTTCGCTATTAGCTTCTTTGCTTTACCAGCAGTAAGTTTAATATTCGTGATGCAACTATATACATTCAAATCCATACCGCGCAGGGTATTCTTGGATCGGGATTTGCCCTAAAAGTGCAGCAGAAACAACGTCAAAAGCATTTTAATCGACAAATCCCCGCTGCTGCCACACTCATACAATGCCTGTGGAGATGTCATGCAGCCGACAAGAACATCGCTGCTACCTGGTATGTAATTCATTTTCATGGTTTCCAACCACCTAAGGATTCGTTGCAGGCGAGTGCATGTCGATCCGTTGGCAGGTGAAACGAGTGAGCAGCATCGCAAGCAGAACGGCACTGCCAACGATGATAATGTCAGCTATAAAAGGAGACTCTTTAAAAAGCAGTACTCAAAGTACGTCACCGTATTATTTTCACACTTTCAGTCAATATCGAACCGCCGGGAAGGTGTCAGAAGGAGTGGAGACGGACGTGTATCAGCGGCGTTTTCTACACTGGCTAGTTTTCTGCCTTGAGCTTAGGCGAACTGTGGTGTTGGTAGGAAACGGCAGTCATTCCACCCAGCTTATTTGAGCCCCCTGGCAGCGTCCCGTCGGATCACGACTATGCCAGCCATACCTAGTGTCTTAAAGGTATATGGAACGATAATTTGATACGCTGCCCAAAATGCTAGCAGGGTGCTATGGGAAGGAAAATTGCGAAAAAATGGGCATTATTTACCCTTTACTGCCCCAATCTTCCGGAAGCAGGCCAGTTTTTGACCGACATTTTTCTGCGTTGGCAGAATTGGCTGAAAGTTGCCAAAATTGCCGCTGGGATGGCCAAAATACCCTTAACCCATATTCCTGAACTTGTCCCCGGGGCGTAGTCTTCTGATCTCCTGAACACGGATACCACATCGACTCGCCCCGAAATCTCCTGGCGCCCGCGCTACAGGTGTTGGCGCCAAAATACCCCACATCACTGGCGCCTGTGGCGCGGGCGCCAGGATGTTTCCGGCTTAAGCAAGTTGATATTCCTTCTCAAGAGCGTCAAATTCACCGCGAGAAAACATTTGACTAAAATTGCTGTCAAAAGTTCGCTCGAAAACTGGCTCGATTCAGTATGAATGGCGCGTAAAGGGTAATAGTCCAAAGATGTGTGTTTCAGGGACCTGTGGAAATAGCTTTCGTTATTTCAGTAGGACTACAAAGCAATTATTCGGACGAGTTGACCGTAGGCATCTTGCCAATAACCGCTGCGATAGGTGCGGCTGCACTCATGTACTCATATGTCCATGCAGCACCGCGGCCGCTTCATATCATTTCCCTCATATTTTACTCAGCATGTGAAGCAATACGAGCATCACGAGCGGTCGTCCATGTGTGGGCAGGCAGGGTGCGGTGGGCGTCCGGGTTGCTGCAGATTGATAGAGCCTATATAGGGCATCTTCCTTGTGACCAAGTTACCTGTTCCTTCTGTTTCCTTTCCCTGCACTTGCTCAGGGCCTGAGCAAATGCAGGGGAGGAAGACTGGGAAGTTTAGGTGAAGGGGGTACGGTGAGGAGGTGCGTAGCGCACGCTTGAGTAAGAGCACTTATCAACAGAGTAGGGTACCACCGTTAATATAAAACTGCAAGTTAATTCATAATAAAGATCTCCACCCAATGGCCATTTATTACTTCGAGCCGACGCTGTTTCGCGACGAGGGAGGGAGGTGGAGGGGCAGTTTGCACTTCAACGACTTCCCATCGACGTGTCGACCCATCTAGACAGCCTCTTCTCGAGTTGACAGGTTTTACCATGATGGCTTGACGAGCTTGCTCCAGCTTCACAAGAGTTCACAGGTTTCACAGAGTGAGACTTGTAAACCAGAAAACTAGTTGAACCAGTGGGAGTTACAAAATGCCGCCCCCCCGTCTGCGAACTGCGCCCTTCGAGCCATCGCACAAGCTGCTGGCTGTCAGCTGAATGTGAGCTCGTGCGTGGGTTGCTCCATCTTTTTACGATTCTATTAAAACAGCACAGTATGAATAGGTAAGTGAATGAACAATATCTGTTTCCATTATAAATGCGCCTGGCGAAGCCGAGTCAGCTAAAGAGAAGGAGAACTCTTGGTCAGCTGGACGGTCGGGGAGATGGGCAAGAGAATCGCTTGGATTGCCGCGTCCACAGCGAACCTAACCGTACAACACCCCGATCTGCAAAAACGTCGCATGCCGCAGTCCGGCGTTTTCTTTTATTTGTACGTATCCTTATCGATTGAAGCATCGGATTTCCTGCAGATAAGGGCATGCTGGTATGCTATTTTTGGTCTTATCTTATGACACAACCAGCCCCCGCCCCTGCCACCTGAAATCATCGTGATTGGCAGGGCGCGACGTCGCACGCGACGCCCACTGGCGCGGCGAATTATGATTCTCTTGCCACACACTCGGCGATCCGACTGGTGTAGGAATCAGCCAAGATTTCTCCTTGAAGTAACAACAAATGTGAACGATCCTTTATTGAATACAAGACAAACATAGAACATCATTCCTATTCAGTAGGATAACACGATACTCTCCTCATCATTACGGACTGTCGGGGCGGGTCAGTGCGGCTGCGTTTTCCGCGGTGCAAAGTCTTTCTGCACCAGTTGTTGAAGCGAGCAAATGACATGACAGCATTATATCCTTCGTATTACTCGTTTTCTACCACTTTTTGTCGCATACGCGTTTCAACGGCTGAGAACGGCTTCAAACAATGTGCGCACTTACCTGGCTGATATCGCCGACAGTCCGAATGATGAGGAGAGTAACATAATATCATGTTTGTACGCAGGACAAATCAATCTCTTCCCTTGTATCCCACGCGCTTCAAATCAACCTTCACGCAGTTTTGATAGTCCTCCTCGGTATGTGCTGGAAAGCATGAAAATTCGATTGCCCTGAATTTGGTTGATATGTCATTGAGTTGTTCCGACAGGAAGTGTAGTAAATGAGTGCTTTACTGAAGAATAGTGGCTCGAAATGAGATCCTTCATAAACGGTATTCGTTCAATAAGTTAACCTATGGGACATCTGTGGGAACTCCCCTTGGACTGTGCAGGTTCGTCGCGTGTCAATCACCAGAAACAGAAGTCAGTACAAGAAACTTCTTTTTACCGTTCGGCTTTGAACTAAAGTAAGGAAATTCAGAACCATCCTGTTGTTAAGCCTCTTGACTTTGTGGTGGATGAGCGAGTACACTTGACTGTATCAAGACAGTTAGAGAGTGCATTTCGAGCCTGCGGAGACCAGACTGAGAGCAGCAGATAGAAAGAAGAACAGCCAAGTCGCTATTGAAAGGTCCATGCAAAAAACTCGGACGCGAGGGAGTCGAACCATCAACCCCACCCAACTGTCCGCTGAGAATCCGTTCATGCTATACCACCAAAGACATCCATCGTTGTTGCTGAACATTCCTCCGATCGTTGAAGAAACCATTCCATGAAGCCGTTCACGCTTGATTACGTGCCACAAGTAAGACCCCATACCCCGACTACTTTTCTCTTCGATTCCGATAGTACCTTTATAGGGTCCCTCCATTCAGCAACTGGTCAAAGTTTCAAGCGGTTTACAGCTCGTAGAGGCTCTCAAAAACAGTCGTTTCCATAGGTTTCTTTTTTTAGCTCCCTTTTTGGCGAATCCAGGGGCTTCCAGCCAAAACGAAGCCACTTTATGATGGTTCAATGGGCAAAAGCCCTTACAAAAGATGCAAAAACCGTTTCGAAAAAGCGGGGCACGCCCTGAACGACCTCCCTTGTAAGCTCGTAAGTACGTTCATGACTAACCAGAACTCAAGCAGGTATGTGGGTAGGCCATGGACCTTTATGGGGTCCATGGCGTAAGGGTAGGTGACTAGAGAATCGTTATTAGCTACGCTGATGAACGTCGCGTGCGCGTCGCTCCGCGTTATTGGAAAATGCCTTCCCGAGGCCGTACGGTGGCGAATCACGCAATGTAGAAACCGAAAGTTCTCCTAAATGTCTAAAGTCGTGGCCACGTGGAAATATTGGATGCTTCAGTTCGATGGCGCTCATGCGCCAAATTGAAGAAATAGCGGCCACATCGCCTGCGCGCCGGCCGGAGAGGCAAATTATTGACTCTCTTGCCCGTCTCCCCTGGAACCCTAATTGCTTGCGTTGGTCACCATTTTATAGAAGTTACACCTTCCCCATTATCTCGTTTGGGGGCCTAAAGCATGGGACCAGGAATGAAGCTAATGGCCGCTAATCGCCATTGCCTACTTTTGCTCCACGACGGGATCCTTTTCAAATGCACTCTTGCGTATTCAAATGCGCCCCCTTGGAATGGTACACAAAAAACGGGTTTCTTTACGGTGCTCAGAGCTGAAGAGCCAAGGGTAAATTCTTAGCATTTGTTCCTCGTCTCCGAAGAAACGTCCCCGGAAGAAGCTGCTAATAAAAAATTAAAAACGCAGCAAACCGTAGGGAAGGGGGAGGGGGGCACGAAACTTCATCGGAATTCCGCAGTGCCATACCGTACCAACTAGTGCTTCTGTTACCCTATTAGCACGACTTCTGATCATAAGGAGTCTAATCTGTGTCCATTCCAGATCACATTTGCTGAATAATCCGAAGAAAAGCCGCCCTAGTGCTACCAGTGTGGACTTGGAGATGGGCGAAAGAAAGAAGGATAAGGAGCGGAACAGCGATGTTGAGGACGACCGCGTATTCGGCAGTGAGCTTTTTCAGCTAGAAACTCTACAGCGAAATAGTTTCTTAGCACCGTCGGATCCCGAAGAATCGAGTGTGAGAAGCCACAGACCCCGATTTCCCTGGTCCCTTCTGCGACCTCTTCGTCAGGTAATCCGTTTTTTATGTTGATAGCCTAGGATGACCCCCCCCGTTGGGCAGAGGAGAAGTTTCTACAGGCTTGTCGCCCTCCTTCCCCCCCCCACCCCTTCTTCATCATACCATCCTTCTGAATTTTCCCCAAATTCTTGACACCCCAGTTTTTCAAAGTTTTCTTCAGCTTTCTCCAAAAAAACTGCTGTCGAACAGGGGTGGGGGAGAGAGGGAGGAGAAGCGAGAGCAATAGCGTTCTTTCTCGGGAAAAACGACGTCAAACTTCTTTCTCGAAGATAAATACACGATTTCCCCCCCCCTTCCCCCTTCTTCCAGCGACCGAACACGACCCTCCTCCTCGCCACCGCTTCCAAACGCGCCGGTCCTGGGCTCAGCGCAGTCCTAACTTTGACGGAGATACCATGGCACGTCATGTCTTGAGAGAATTTTCGTAAAATTGGAACCTCCTCAAAACATTCTCTCTTGTTACTACCCCTCTCCCTTCTCCATGCCCCACCTTACCTGCTGTCCTTTCAAATTTATTTTCGGAGTTTTTTCAAAGATCCTTCATTTTTTTCCCAAA